TGATGTGTGAAGTGGTGGCATTAGTACCACTCCCCCACCCCCTTCCATACCTACCCACCTAACAATGCCCCACATTTACCAGTTTTCACCGGAAGATTCTGGTTTTACAGAGTCTTTTCTCTGAACACTGAGTGAAGGTTATCAAATAAATCTCATTAAAGACCTAATAGAACTGCATGTCTTAATCGTGAAAAAGAACGGGAAAAAACCAAAAAAGCAAAAACCACTCCCATTTGACGGCCCACGGAATTGCTTCCATTATTTCAGTTACATTTATTGTCGGAATGCGTCAAAACAACTCAAAATTGGATATTCAAGAAGGTTAAAAGGCATCTGGTCTTGCTTGTTGAATTGACTAGGAGAGGAATAAGGGAAAAGCAGAACAAAACTAGGAATGATCTTAGTTTCCAATGCCGAACAAGGTGGGTTGATGGACAGCGGTCGATTTGATAAGAGCGATCAATGTTAACATCCTGTTTGCGGAGATGGCTAGCGTCACGGTATCAGGGACAACCCCAGGTGACACTTTGCCACGTTGGTCATTGAATCTAGCCTTCCCTCGCATACTCATTTCACATAACTATCATTATAATGCAGAGTTATAAGCAAAAGTTTGGCCTCGAACGGGAATCGAACTCATTATACTTCCTGGATGCGAAACCGGACATAACCACCTTTCACCTGGCAATAACTTTGATTTCCCTAGTTTTACATCTACCAAGCTTTCTCCGAGATCTCGTTTATCGGATTTACTTTGCAATAGACACCACATAATTCGGGGAGGGGGGGGGGCAGTGTGGATTCGGGGGACTGTATGGTTGGTATGGTTGTGGTTTAGTTCCTTCTACCTTGTAACTGTGAAAGGGCTTCGTTGGGATAGAATATTAGATGGTAATAAGAGCCTAGCCCCATATGTGAACTGTTTCAGTGTGTTAAAGTTAGTCGATTGAAATGTGTGTTTAGGAGGTCCACCTAGCGTAGAAAATGTGCCCAGCTCCCGAACAGGGATGGTAGTGCAGACTGCTTAGGGCGCGTACTGCACATGCCGCACGTACGACACTACTTGCGACATCGCGTTCGCTGCCACTTTGATCTGACCAGTATGACTGGGAGGGAGATGGAGGTGTGATGTCCAAGTCGTATGCTGCTGTCAGTATCTCACTGTCAGCAACTCCTGATCGTCAGGCTCACTTGTCAGAGCTACCTATGTTTGTTCCAAGATTGAATAGCGATACCCTCTGGCTAGTGAGATATTTTCACTGCAAAGTAATAAAATGAGCAAATTTGCTAAGGTGAGAGGAAGCATGTTACACTCAAAGAAAACAGTTATGCGGGCTCTCCCGTGTTCAGCCTCTTTCGGCGCACGTACCCTACCTAGTTTTTCAGGATTCTGTCAAGCTTCTAAAAGGAGAGAGAGTTCTCAGTGGCTATCGTCTCCGAGGGAAAGTTTTCATTCATCATAATATGAATTCTGGTACGATGTTCACTTGGACAGAAAGAATTGATGGCTTGGGTGGCGCTGAGGGAGTCGAAGCCACTACCAACTCGGTTCCTTGCTTCTTATAAGCCAGAAACCCAAATATGAAATCAGTTTGCACAAGCACTTTAGTGTTATTGGAGAACACCGCTATCTAGGATATCCTGATGGCGATTTCGAGGCAACGTTAGACTACACCATCCAATTACTCTATGTAAACTGCAAGCCAATCAATAAATTCATCTCAAGACCTAATTCTATGCATACAATCCTCATCGATTACGGCACTGTGGGGGTAGTGTCGTGTGCAGGGCTGCGTTTGGCGCGGTACCGAAGTCGTTCTGCACCAATTGCTGAAGCGGGCAAGTGACATTACTGTATTATATCCTTCGTATTACTCGTTTTCTACCACTTTTTGTCGCATACGCGTTTCAACGAAAAGGCTGAGAACGGCTATTCACAGCTGTGCGCACTCCTACTGGCTGATCACGCCCGACAGTCCGTGAAATGATGAGAGACAGTTGTTACGCTCCCATCTCACCTGAATTCGTTCCTCACGTCCCCCGAAACGAATTAGAGGCAGAAACCCACCAGTAAAGGAGGAAAGTAAACATAGTATTGGGTTGGTGTAGAGAACTCCTTCATATAAGATAGTCTTCTTAGTTTTCTTTTTCTTGAAGTTTCTCTTTCCAAACATTTTGATGCTCCAATTGGAGTGCCAGGCAGGTCGACGAATTGAGCATTTTCGACAGACATTCTTTTTCACTTCTAAATAAAAAGCTAAAACCGCACAGGCCTTTGACTACATGGCCAGAAGGCTTATCAGAAAACGCTCACAACTGTTTACCCGGATTCACAAGATTTTTTTTTTCAGGTTTCGACTAAGACAAGCACTTGGACCCACACGCCGCTATTGAGTCCAACTGAGAGCTACTCATTCGCCTTATTCATAAAATTCATGCCATAATACAGCAGTCATTAGAGGTCATAGACATTTCAATTTCCTGGTCATTGTCAGCATCACCCTCAATTGATTTTAGACCTGCGAAAGTTGGTGGATAAGTTCTCCAGACAGTCGCTCCCTAAGGGGGCCTCTGTGCCATGCACATTTAGGAGGGCAAAATTCCCACCTCGCTTTACCCACTTCGAGCTCTCACGAGAAGCGCCTTCTCTTGGTCATGTATACCAAAAGTTTTGAGCTCTTTCTGTAATTTAAGAGCCGAGATGAAGTGCAAAGAGTTGTTGTTGAAAACTCGCTTTTTTGTATGGACCCGATACTCCATTTCAATGGAATAAAAATCAAAAAGCACTGAAAAACAGTAAGAAGGCGTTTGAATTATCTTATAGAGCGGAAAATTATCTATGAACAGCACACAAAACATTGCAAGGGAACCGCAGTTTTTATTATAAAACTTGTTTAAGAAAAAACATCAGCTTATGGGCTAACTCAATACACCTTGAGCGGCAACGAGTTTCCGGTTTCATCCTGATCACCTCTGAAAACTCCTCAGTCGACCTAGCGATGATGCTCTACAGCGCAATCATACTTTTTGGTAAAAGCCACTGCTTTCTGCTTCTTTGGCATTTCTCCACTGTTTTTTCTCTCCATTACATACAACTCCGCACATTTCCAAAGCACAATGTCGCTGAAGAACAATTCGGTGAGACCGTACGCTGCGGAAACTCCGCCCCTGTTGTTGGTAGTGCCTCCTATTGTAGGTCGCTGATCCCCCTCGTCGTTGGTCCTGCCTCTTATTAGACGTCGTTGATCCCTACCGTTGTTAGTCCCGCCTCTCATCGAACTTGTCGCCCACAAGGAGGGATATTCCGATATTGCGGCTGTTATTCAGTAAGTAACATTAAATATTTCATCATTTTGCTTTCGAGACTCTTCTTAAAAACTTCAATGAGCAAGAGAACAGAGATGTTATCTTTATAGAATAAATACATGTATATCACAAACGAATAACACAAAAGCATAAAACAATACCCGATTCAACATCACAACAAAATGAAAGTCTGCCAACAATGGGAAGTACAACCGGATCTCGGGGAACATGAAAAAAGACACAAGCGCATTCAAATGCCTCGCAATTCTGATTGAAAGTTGAGTGCGAGGCGCATTTTGGAAGTAGCTCGATCTATGTCAGAAGCTTAATTCTTCTGAAAGAGAAACAAACTGAAAGTTCACAATAGTCAGTCAACAATAGCGACTAGCTGTATCTATCAGGACAAGTCGGAAATGCAATTGAATGTTTGGCAGCACACGAGCAAAATTTGGCACAAAAAAATCGGCACATTTCAAAGGCACATTCAGATCATTACAGTAAGACATATGTTTGTCATGATTATGCAGATCACACCTGAAGAAGGAGAACGGAAATGAAACGAAGTTTGGCGGAGGCGTTAGACGCAAACGCCATCATCGTCCTGGTCACGATCGGGTTTCCTTCGTTTCGCTGGCGTTTTTGATTTTGTTTGTGTCGCTTGTGAAAGTATGTACATGGGGCAGATCCAACATTTACAAATGGGTATGATGATTTTTGTGAGCACCACGTAGACGATCACCAAAACGCAGACGTACACCAACACATCAGTGGCCATCATCACGAATTCGCCAAGTGAGGACACGCCATTTACCCACGACATCGGGTTCAAATACCTGAAACTATTTCAATTCGAAATCGGAGCAAAATGCCGAGAAGAAACTCGGAGACACATTCCTATGCATGCTGATGAGGCGACATAAACTGTTATATCCTTCTCGCTGGTACCTGTTCCCTATTAAGTGGCACCGAGGAAGTGATGGAAGC